ACTCTCCCATTAAAGGCTGGACTCACAACTAAAAATATTAGAGTTCAATTCCCAGCAACCACATGGTGGCTCACAACCATTTGTAGTGAGATTTAGTGCCATCTTCTGGCTTACAAGTGTACATACAAAAAATAGTTTACTTTTAATGATTCTCAAAAGTTGTTAACAGCAGATATTAATTGGCTAAAACCTCATCTTCAGCTTACCATAGAAGAACGTAAACCCCTGTTGGATATTCTCAAGAAAGATGCAAGTCCTAATTCCCCTTGACAATTAACTGATGAAGGAGGAACAGCTTTTAGCACTTTTTACCCTCAATATTTTAAATCTGGACAGTCAGGGCCATTCGGCTGCTGACCGTCATGTTTAGAGCCTGACAGGCCAAAAGAGATGGTCAAATAAAAAGACATCTTGACCGGACAATGAAAAGGTCCAGATTCTATTTTAATAAAAGCCAGGGGAGCGGTTTGTGTCTTTCCACAGAAAGAAGACAATCCATTTTGGCTACCAGAGCGACTGACGCGGCGACTCGTGACATCTGAAGATGACCCCCCAAAAGACTCATATGCAGATTCTTATTTGGATCCTCCAGCTTTGGGTTCCTAGTATTTTTGTTTATTTTATCAAATTCCACCTTTAAGAATTGTACCAATGAAACCTGTTGGATGTCCCAGTGTTGGAGTTCTAAAAGATTCACTCGCACTATAGTTGCCAGAGTCCCTTGATGGGTTCCCGTCCCCGTGGAGACTCCTTCCACTTTGTCATTATTTAGACAAAAAAGAGATTTTGGTATAATTGCAGCCATAGTGACGGCGATATCAGTTAGTGCCATTGCCACCACTGCCGCTGAGATTGCTATGTCAACTTCTGTTCAGATGGGCACTACCCTCAACCAATTGTCAGCCATGGTGGTGGAGGCTGTTAACCTTCAAACCTCCGCCAGCACCCAACTAAAAGGCAGGCTAATGATCCTTAATCAACGCCTTGATTTAGTGAGAGAGAGATTAGATATCCTCTTTCAATTAGCCCAATTGGGATGTGAGAGAAAACTGGGTGCACTTTACATCACCAGTGTACAACATGAAAACTTTACTCGAGTAGCTAATCTGTCCAGAAAATTGTTTCAATATCTTACAGGAAATTGGTCAGAAAACTTCGATGAGACACTCAAAAAATTGAGAACAGCTGTGGTGGACATCAACTCGACGCTCGTGGATCTGTCCCCGACTGAGGGACTGTCCTCCTGGATTTCTTCAGCTTTTTTCTTTTCTTTTTTTTTAAGTGGGTGGGAGTAGGCCTGTTTGGTATGCCCTATGTTGCGGATTAGTGTTCATTTTTTGGTTGGCTTGCAAACTCAGAGCTCAACAAAATCTTGACAAGGCTATTATTGCCCAGACGCTTGTGACCAAAAAACTAGGGGCTTCCCCTGCAGTGTGGCTATCACTGCTTCGAAAATAAGTAGTCTCCCCCTCACTAGTGGTGGTGCTAAATGTTGGGCCATCAGCCGTTGCATCCCAAAAGATTTGCCCATTACACTGGGTCGGTGAGGAGTCTTGGCCTGGCTGGTCCTTGTCTGTGTAGCTGTGGTACCTGAATTTTGAGGCAAACAGCCCTTGCACCCCTAGGAGATGACTCCATTGCACAGGGATGGGTGTTTGCATCTCTTTCTGTTCCCCTTAGCCCTTGCACTCAGAGGACTTGCTTCCATTGCACCTGATAGGGTAAGGGAGACTGTCTTAAACTATTAGTCCTTGATCGCTTATTCCCCCAAGATGGAATTTGCTTGATTGGGCTTGAGTTTGAGTCATGACTGGTACCACGCTAGACAGGCCAAGAACAGCCAGATAGACAGCTCCATCTTTTTGTCTCCAGGCCAGCTGCCATTGGTCCCAACGACGAGAATAGGCTGATCCCATATGCCAGAGGTACACCACGAGTGGTGACTTTACCCAGTGACAGGCATTACGAGTGGCCACAACCTGGGGTGCACATTCTGAGAATGCCAGGTGTGGGTGCGCGACCCTCGTAGCCTAGACAGAGAGCTCACCATTCTTTGGTGCTGGCTGTGGAAAAACGTCAGCTAGCCTAAGACACGGGACATTGACCAGTGCCTGTTTAACAAAACAAAAGGAAATAGCCAGTAGACAGATTCCTCAGCCGCTGTACCCAAGGGCTTTTGGTAAAGACACCCTGTAAAGCCTCAAACATTTCTATACGCAGTCCCTGCCCACTAAGGTGTTCGTTCCACGGATAGAAGGTCTGGTAAGTCAATAACGGAGCGGACGGATAAGCCTCGGCCACCTAAGACAGGGCAGCCCCAGGTGGGGAGGCTGACCCAGTGATGGGTAAGAGTTTGAGCACCGCCCTCCAAAGAGACTCAGACCCGCCGTGAGATCCCCAAATATGGGAGTTACGAAACCTTCCCAGGGATCTCATCTACCACCCTCTACAATAAAACAAAAAAGGGGCAGATGTAGGAAGCCGCGTTTGCGCTGGCAGAATCTGCCATTGCAAGATGGCGATGGCGACCGGGATTCTTCCTAGTAAACAAGTAAATTGTGCATGTGCCATGGTAAAAGCCCGCCAAAGTTAAAGCCCATCCCACGGCGTTTTGGCGCGCAACGAGTAAGCAGCCAATCAGAGGTGAATACACCGCTCTAAGGGTATATAAGCAGTGCTTTTCCCAGCCCTGGCGTCTTCTACCATTTTGTTTTTGGGAATAAACGTGTTCCTACGGAAGGATCCTGATGTGTGTCCGCGTGTCTTCCTTGCTGGCGAGGTGGGCGCGCTTCACAAAGCTCATGAATGGTCACCATGGCTGGGTCAGATGGAATGGTGATGAGTGACCGTTTGGGGGAATACAATGTCTCAGCCACAGAAGTGGTGATGCGCTCGCTCACAACCCTAGTACCCCAATGCCACTGACTTGTACATTCACAAAGTCCTGAAGTTTGATCCCCAGCTCAACAGGCATAGTGGTACACACCCGTTATCCCAACACCCAGGAACGGGAAGCAAAAGGATCAGAAGTTCAAAGCCATCCTGACATACACAAGACCTCGTTAATAAACAAGTTGTATTAACTTTAAAAACCCATATGGTAGCTACGTGTGATGGCACACACTTTTAATCTCAGAACTCTTTAAGCAGATCTCTTGAGTTCAAAACCAGTCTGATCTACAGATTAAGTTCTAGGCCAGGAAATCAGGTGTAGTGGCATATTTTCCCCCGAAAGCTGGGAGGAGTTAAGGTGGGAGGAGTGAGGAGAGGAAGAGGAAGAGTAAGGAGAGGAAGGGGAGGAGGAGGACTGGAGAGAGGTGAACATGGAAACGGATGTACGCATATCTCCAGCAGTCAAAGGTAGTTGACATATCTAGGTTGGGTATTGGGTCACACCTCTAATTGTGTGGGCTTCTTGTTATTGAGCATTACCAAACATAAAAAGCTATTGGATAATCTTTAAGCATTAGAATCTCATTTCTACCTGGTACCGCGTGGATGGCGGGATGGTCTGGTCTCAGCCCAGCCGTGTGGAGACAGTGTGGAAGATTGGCAGAGCCATCTCCCACGCTGGTGTCTCGAGGGTGGCAGGGCGGGTGTCTCTGGTGGCCTGAGCTGGCGGCCTGAGCTGCGGCAGCAGTGAGAACACGCCGCTGCTCATGACCTCAGGCCTAGTCTCGTCGAGAAGATGGCGGCTGATTAAGAACAAGTCAGACTGAGTGCCACCGATTTTAAATAATTACTTCAACAGTCAGGGATGAAGATGAAGAAGAGGATGAAGAGGAAGAGGAAGAGGAGGAGGAGGAGGAGGAGGAGGAGGAGGAGGAGGAGGAGGAGGAGGAAGG